AATGCTTGCATTTCACCCAAATTAGGAATCCGAGGATCGTAAGGAACCATATCATACCTCTTCCTGCTAGCAGTTATTACGGCGATGCTGAGTGTGTAGTTTCATTAGAAAAATAAGTAAAGATCGTAATGATTTTTTATATTTACGCGAATAATATACATTTAAATAAAACTAGTTTTTATCTGGTGACACGGCAGTGCCCCCGCCAAGTCGAGCAAAAACTACACGGCAGTACCAAACTTTTCTCGAAGCAGTTGAGGCCATTTTCGATCCCTCTATAACTTAGTTCTGGATAAAACTAGAAGCCTTCAGTTACCAAGCAGGCATTATATAAATATGGTATATTTCAAATTTCATTCAATTTTAACCAGTAGGTTAAGAATTATAACTAGTCAAAGTTTCTAAATTTTGTCACTCACTGACTGACCGACCATCAAAACTCTAAGGCACTTCTAGCAAACATAGAAGCTTCAAGTTTAAAATACAGTTAGTTTTTAGTGTATAAATCAAGGAAAAACTAAAATGTTTTTTAATTTCGGTCCAGTTTTCTATAATACACCACCTGCATAAGGAACTTTGTAATCCCATATGAGTATATAGGATTACAAAGTTACATTTGCAGTGAATGATTGATGATGATGATTTTTGATGGCATAGATTTTATCGCTTCGACGTTGAGACGTTTCGAGCACTATATAGCACCCATGGTCACGAGAGGGACTGAGATGTTCGACGTCCCATTGTCATAGTAAACCCAGCTACCTCGAGTACCCCCCCTCCCCCCCCCCGTAACCATAAGGCCTGTAAAGTGCCTGAAACGTAGTGAATATAAAATAAGTGAATATACGCCATAAAATCCGTAAAACTAGTTTTATTTTAAAGTAAAGATCACATCTGGAAAACCCGCAGGGACACTGACGTAATTTGTAAAACCTTCTTGCTACTGGTGATGTATCCGTAAAAAGTTAGAATGCTTCACACAACATTAAACATACATCTAGATTGTTTCCTATATATATCAAATATTTTATAATTAATTAATAAAGATATATCTTTGTAAATTAAAAAAGTAAAAGTAAAGTTACAGCCTATAGACGTCCCACTGCTGGGCACAGGCCTCATTTCTGAGAGGGTTTTAGGGCAAGGAAGTGTCCGCCGCGCTGCCCCAATACGTGTTGGCGACCTTCACATGTCTTCGCATTTTTTTCTTATTTCTCGGACATGTAGGTTTCCTCACGATGTTTTCCTTCACCGCCGAGCACGTGGTAAATCAGCACTTAAAATTGCAATTACATATTCATTGGTGCCGGCGGGGATCGAACCCGGTTTGCTCGCGTACTGTGAAATTTACAGCGAGCGCTAACCATTTGAGCTACCACGGCTCTTATATATCTTTGTATCTCTCTTATTGACAAGTTAAATAAAATTAAAAATCCCACCGCTGAAACCTCCTCTCACTTCTGAGAGAGTTTTTATTTTTAAGAAAATATTATTAACTTTAATAGAAATCAGGGGTCTATTTTGCTCTCTGACTGACTTAAACCTCATGGTTATCACTCCGCGTCGACTAGTGATCATGGGATCTTTATAAATTTATCATAGATCTTTATAAATTTTAACAGTGGTAGAGCCAAGCGGTAGCTTTGCTGTTCAGCACGTATGGGCCGGCTCAAACCGAGGTGGTACCACGATCTCACAGAATACCGGCGTGATATGAGACTACCCCAGGAGGGTACCAGCACCCCTGGAGAATCCCTCGCTGCGCAGCCACCACCACGCTACTCCACTCCTGAGCGTAGGTGCTCAGGCTGTCCCGCGTATTCTGGGGGGAGGGGGGGGGAATTCCGCTCAAGACTACAACTGCTCGGGGCAAACGGAGCAACAAGACCAAGATGACCCCTGCCACGCTATCCTGAATTTCTGCAAGGGGAGACTAAACGGCCGAGGGTTAGGAGGAAAGGGAAAGAAACCGGCGGACGATGCGGGCGGTATCGAGGAGCACCGGCTTCTGCATTTGAGCCCGGAGCGGTCCGTCTCGGAGTCCCAGTCGCCTCAGATGACCCGAGAGGTTGACTGGGATTAGCCCATTCGCAGAGACGACTACAGGAATAATTTCAGTCGGCATACCACCCCACATGTCGGTCACTTCGTGAGCCAAGTTCAGATATTTTGTTCGTTTATCTGTTTCGGCTTTCACGAGGTTCTCGCCATACGGAATGGTAATGTCGATCAAAAATATCCTTGACTGTGCCCGGTTCATCAGCACAATATCAGGCTTATTCGCAAGAATAGTCCTGTCTGTGATGATGGCCCGGTCCCAGTAGAGCCTGGCGCGGTCATTTTCAAGCACGGCTTCCGGAAAGTACTTGTAATACGGCAATTTCCGGTCCACGAGATCGTATTTCAGAGAGAGCTCCTGGTGTAGAATTCTGACTAATAGGTTGTGCCTGTGCTAGTACTTAGAGTTAGAAAGCGCGAGAACAACCGGAGATGACATGCCTAAGTGACTCCCCGGGATGGCGACAAGCTCGACAAACGTCGACAGTGCCATCCTTTAGGATGTATCTCCGATAGTTGTTGGTCTTAATAACCTGATCCTGTATTGCACAGACAAAACCCTCGGTTTCCCCGAAGAGGTCACTGAAAAGTTGAGGGAGGCGGCTGTATCTACGTGAGGCTCATGTAGAGCCCTGTAGTACCTCCCTTCTCCTTCCATACGGTCTCCCGGTCGGAAATTCTCTGTACTGCCGGGTCTTGCTATTGCTCGTTGGCTAAGGATAGAGGGGTAAGTAACTAGAAATGACGTCATTATAGAATGGATCATCCGATCTCGCCAGGAAGTAATGACGGAGGCTGCACACTTCGCGATTATGCATAGTGAGCGTGCTCAGGAAGCCACGCCCACCATGCTTTTGCGGCAAGTACAGCCTCATTACCGACGATCTCGGATGATGCATCCTATGGGACGTCATTGTAGTGCGGACTTTTCTATCCAGGGCGTTAAGTTCAGTCTGACTCCAACTGAGTAAGCCAAAAGTATACATGAGGACAGGCATGACCCAACCGTTATATGCATGTGTCTTATTCACATCGGACAAAAGGCTGTTAAGCACTTTGGCCAAGCGTGCATAAAACACGTCGCAAACTGACTGTTTCATACCAGCCTCATCGATACCGATGTTCTGTGACATACCCAGGTATCGGTATGTTTCAGCCTCGGAAAGGGCCCTTAAGTTGACGAACATAGATAAGTCTATGCCCTCAGAGTTAGCAAACCTTCCCCTTTCAACATGGAGGACCGCACACTTATCCGTCCCGAGCTCCATTCTAATAGAATTGCTAAATTCACAAGTGATGTTTAGCAATTCCATAAGATGGGAGCGACTGAAAGCGAATAATTTGAGGTCATCCATATAGAAAAAGGTGGGTCACTTTTGTACCTCCTTTCCGAAGCTGAAATCCCCTCCCGTAAAATACTGAGAGGGTTCAAAGAGAGGCAAAACCAGATTGGACTCAGACAGTCGCCCTGGAATACACCCCTTTTATCCTTATGCGGCTTTCCGCAGCCGTCATCCGCTCGCCTAGATGACAGAGGATCTTACTCCACTGCCCCATACACTGCTCGAGAAAGTCTCGAACTGTACAGTCAATCTTGTACAGTTCGAGGACCCTCTTTAGCCATGTATTGGGCACCGAGTCAAATGCCTTTCTGTAATCTACCCAGGCGGCGGAGAAGTTCCGACGGTTACGTTTCACCACTTTGCCAATGACCGCGTCAATGAGGAGTTGTTCCTTGGTTCAACGACCGCCGCCCCGACATCCATTTTGAGCGCGCGACATCAACTGATTTGAGTCCAGGTGACGAGCGATTCTCGCGCTCAAAATGGATGTTAGCGTCTTGTATATGGTTGGTAGACACATGACGGGGCGGTATTTGCTCGGGTCTGTGGCACCCTGATCTTTAGGAACCAAATGAGTGATCCCAGTAGTGAAGAGGCTTGGGAGCGACTTCTGGTTGAGAGCCTCATGAAACTGTCGGGAGAGCACAGCGTGACATACCATGAACCCCTTCAGCCAGTAGTGATGCAGCCCGTCAAGCCCCGGACTTTTTCAGTTCGGGGCCCTATGGACCGGCGTAAGGAAGTGAAGGTTGTCATGTCAACGTCATCCGGCGTTATGATGATGGGGTCCATGGGCGTAATACCCGCACACTGACTCGTTATAACTTCCGTCCAAGGGCCCTCATTGTGGTTTACGGGCTCTGACCACAGGCTACGCCAGAATGCGACCATATCGGCCTAATTTGGTGCTGGGCCCGTTCTACTTACTATTGGTCGCTCCAATGATTTATAAAGCCTCTTCTGATCACTCTGGAAGAGACGATTCTGGTTGAACCGTGTCGACCTCTCGGTATATCGCCGAATCCGCTTTCCCTAAGCAGCGATTCTTTGCTTCAGGTCGTCTATGCGCTCCGTCAGTTTTTGCATTATATCGGGCTGGGACAAACTAACATTTGTCCCAGCAAACGCTATCCTAACGGTACGCACAATCCTTGGCCTGCTATTGCCTGACCTGAAGCATATCAGTCTGCCGATGAGGGCCCTAGCCTTTGCGATACGTTCTTCAATCCTTATTCTCCAGGCTGGGATAGTACTACTTTGTCCAGTAGCGCATCCAGCCGTGGAAAGTTTGGCGCCTATAATACGGCAGACTGCCAGTGCGGCGCCAAAAAGAATTCTGTCCGTCTCGCAAAGGTCCCGGCTGGCTTCCAAATAGCCAGCATTGGGTTCAGAGCCCTCACGACAGCCCGATTCCGCTTGCTTAGGGCTAAGCGGGGAAGTCGCGGTCGATTTTCGAGAGGCGTACTGCGCATTTCCACAATCGCCTCTTCCAATGTATTCCTCATTTGCTCTAGTTCCAGTTTCTGGGCGACTGTTCCATCATCGTTTGAATCAACCACAACTGTCGTATTCACGGCGGCATCTACATTTGCCGTTTGCTCAGCAAGTTGTGGCGCCGCACCGCCGCAGCATTTTCACCCGATGAAGGAACAGCTTCACGTCGTAGCCGTTCGAGGTGACATCAAATGTATTTGAGCGCAAGATATACCGAACTCGGTCTGCCAGGTTTTGCTCGGTGACGGTTACAGATGGCTCCAGCTCAGCAAAAATTCGATGCATCCTTGCCCGATACGCAAAACCTCCAGTTTCTCCCCCTTTCGCCCTAAAATACGCCCGCAATGCGTTGCTGTTCATCTGGGTTGTCCAACGCATGCGGCGTACTCCACCAGTGGCGGGTGCCGATTGCTGGGCCCGCAAAGACCCTGCCGACACCAAGCCAGCTGGTGGGTACGATGGATGCGAGGGGCTGCTAGGTGGTCGTGCAGCACCTCGCGCTTGGCTGGTGGTTCGCATGTTGTCGCGTCCAGCGCCAGCTCCAGACGCGCCCTGGCGACCTCCAGGCAGCGGCCCTTTGCGCGTTCTATTTAATTCCATCGTCCATTTTTAGGGCGTCATTTAGCGGGAGATGCCCAGACCCGGCGCCATTTCATGGTGAGGCCATGTGCACAAGCGGGCATTTGCACCTTCAAGTTTTGCCGAGGCACGGCACTAACACCTCTTGACAACGTGCTGACTGACTGCGCTGACGTAGCGGTTTTGTCACATAACCGTTACGTCAGCGGGCGATGGGGTCGTCACTTCCCTACGCCTTAACTTATTATTATTATATGTGGGGTATCTATATAGTTTTCTCCTCTGGTTGGGATGTATAAATATATAATTATAAATGAAAATGAAAAGATAAATATACATAAATATCAATAAAATAAAATAAATACAAAAATACATAAATAAATAAAAGCCCAACCAGATGGAAGCCCTCGGCAGGGGGAGACCAAACGGCCAAGGATTAGGGGGAAAGGGAAAGAAACCGGCGGACGACGCGGGCAGTATCAAGGAGCACCGCCTTCTGCATTTGAGCCCGGAGCGGTCCGTCACGGAGTCCCAGTCGCCTCAGATGACTAGAGAGGCTAACTGGGATTAGCCCATTCTCAGAGACGACTACAGGAATAATTTCGGCCGGCAGACCACCCCACATGTCAGTCACCTCGTGAGCCAGGTCCAGATATTTTGATTGCTTATCTGTTTCGGCTCTCACGAGGTTCTCGTCATATTTCTCGTCATATTATTATTATTATTATTATTATTACTCTTTCTGACCGAGACTGAGGTGTCCTCTCCAGCTGATGTCTCGTATCTATCCTACCCAGGGTACAAACTGGAACACTTCCTTTGTGCCTCGGGCTGGAGTTTGCGTTTACGTCAGAGAGGACATCTGTTCTGGACGCCTCAGCAGTCTTGAAGGTTCGGACCTCTCCATCCTTTGGCTACGCATAGACAGCGACGAACATCCGCGCGTCTACGGGTGCCTCTATAGGTCCCATAGCGGTAGTGCCGAAACAGACCGACTCTTCGACCACGTTCAAAAGGCTACCGATTCGTTGCTACATCAGATCCCCTCCGCAGAGATCGTGATCCTCGGCGACTTTAACGCCCATCACGCCGATTGGCTTGGTTCACGTTTAACCGATCATGCGGGGAGATCTGTTCATGATTTTGCCTTGGCATATGGTCTGACACAACTGGTTACTTCGTCTACGCAGATTCCAGATGTAAAGGATCATACACCTTCCCTGTTGGACCTTCTGCTAACCTCACCCAGACGGATATCAGATTTCCATCGACGCCCCTTTAGGCTCCTCGGACCATCGTCTTGTCCGGTGTGTGGTGCCACTCACGCTGAAATCGCAGTTGCATTCTGCAGGCAGCCGCCGTGTTTGGCACTATAGGTCAGCCGATTGGGATGGGATGCGGTCTTTCTTTGCATTCTACCCTTGTTCCAACGTTGTTCCAGATTCTGTCGCTGATGTGGTACTTCAGGGTATGGAACTTTTTATTCCTTCCTCTGTGGTGCCCATTGGAGGCAAATCTCAGCCATGGTTTGGTCACTCCTGTAAAATAGCATCATGCATTAAGCAGGAGTGCTACCAAGCCCGGGCTGACGCATCAACATCCCGGGATGTAAACACCACCGCTCTAAAAAAGAAGTATAATTCCGCCTCTAGGTCCTTCAAGAGAGTCATTGCCAAGGCAAAGTCAGAGCACATAGTCAGAATTGGCGAGAAACTAGTTCACCTTCCTTCTGGAACCCGTACATTCTGGTCTCTCGCCAAGGCTGTCCAGGGGAATTTCTGTCAGCCGTCCCTTCCATCTCCGCACAGGATGGACAACTCACTGGTCCATACCGCAAAGGAGAAAACCGATCTACTAGGCTCTTCTTTGCGTCCATCTCGACTCTTGATGACGGGGGGAGTACGCCGCCGACCATCCCGCAATGTGAGTGCTCTATGCCGGAAGTGCACTTTACACAGCACTCGGTTCGCAAAGCACTCCTCTCCTTGGACATCCACAAGTCGAGTGGCCCTGATGAAATCCCCCCAATTGTGCTGAGGACGTGTGCTCCACAGTTAGCACCGGTTTTAACGCGTCTTTTCCCGTACTCCTACTCCCTTTCGTCCACCCGATCCCCAAAAACCCGTCCAACTACCGGCCTATCGCCATCACCTCCTTGTTCTCCGAAACAATTGAGTCTATTGTTAACTGCCAGCTCATGAGGTACCTTGAGGATCACCAATTGATTAGTGATCGCCAAAACGGTTTTCGCCGTGGTCGGTAAGTTGGTGATCTTCTGGTCTACCTAACTCACAGATGGGCGGAGGCAGTAGAGTCCAAGGGTGAGGCATTGGCCGTTAGTTTGGACATTGCGAAGGCCTTCGATCGGGTTTAGCACAAAGCGCTTCATTTGAAGCTCCCTTTCCTATGGGCTTCCAGAGAAATTGTGCGATTATATCACCAGCTTTCTTGCAGATCGAAGCATCAAGGTCGTTGTAGACGGTGCAAGCTCCGATTACAAGCCTATTAATGCTGGTGTTCCAAAAGGCTGCGTGCTATCGCCAACGCTGTTTCTTCCGCATATCAATGATATGTTGCAAACCCGTAACATTCATTGCTATGCAGATGACAGCACTGATGATCTTTACACCGGCCGTGCCAATATTTATCGGGAAAACGTCTCCGAGTACCGGGACAAACTTGTGTCTGAAGTCGAGTCTTTGCTGAACAGAGTCTCGGATCGGGGGGCGACTAAATCTAGTCAAGTTTAATCCCCAGAAGACACAAGTTTGCGCGTTAACCGTTAAAAAGAACCCCTTTGTCATATCTCCTCAGTTTCAAAGCACTCCCCTTGTTGACTCAGCCAGTATCGGAATCTTCGGCGTCAACATATCTAGTGACGTGCAGTTTCGTGGTCACTTGGAAGAGAAGGCCATCTATTATTGATATTTATGATTCGCCTCTAAAAAGCTTGTCGTACTCAGCAGAGCGGGACAGTATTTCATGCCGGCACACCGCCTGCAACTTTACAAGGCGCAGGTTCGGCCGCACGTGGAATGCTGTTCCCATCTCTGGGCTGGGGCTCCCCAGTACCAGCTCCTTCCTCTTGACCGCATTCAGCGCAGAGCGGCTCGAATCTTCGACGACCGAGTGCTTTCCGATCGGCTCGATTCACTGGTGCTGCGAAGAGATGTTACATCTCTTTGTATTTTCTTTCGTATATACCATGGGGAGTGCTCTGAGGAATTGTTCGGTGTAGCGGCGCTGTCGTCGCGCCGCATGCAATACCATTGTAATAGTGGTGATATGTTCGGATTAATCCCAGTCGCCAAATTTCGTGAGCGCACTGCGCGGCAAACGTCTCGATACCATCCACACCATCTGGATGCTTGGCGGTTCACCACTGTACGTTTCAAAAGGAGTTTTCCTTCGCGTACGACCTCTCTGTGGAATAGTTTACCACCGTAGATTTTTCGGACCGATGTGACCTGGGGACCTTCAAGAAAAGAGCTTACTAATTTCTAAAGGGCCGGCAACGCATCTGCTATTCCCCTGGTGTTGCGATTGATCATGAGCCGCATGCTCGTTTGCCCCCTCTTCTATAAAAAACTATGTGTAACAAAATATTTACATATAATTATTTGATTGTAAAAAATGTTGTAGACAAAGAAGTGATGTCTAGTCGTTATAGACTTTCTCTGATCAATCTAAACTTGAATCTTAAATTAAAACTGACTTCAGACTGAGATTGGATGTGAATGAGTACAACCTATATTAAACTTAGGTAACCTGATAGGTCTAATTAATCATTCTATATCAACTCAAGTCTGAGATCGGTACCAAAATACTATCTACGTATTTTGGTACCGATTTAAAATACTATATACGTACTTGATAACACCATTTGGTGAACAACAGACTTTGCTTAGTAATTTTCACTCAGTCAGTATTTTTCGACATTAAAAACATAACCCTTCCTTGACAGTCGGGTAATTTTTTAAAGCTTAAATAGAGTCAAATTTGTTGTTATATGTATCAATGACACGAATGCATATATACATATTTAAAATGATTCTTTTTGTTCTTTATTCATAATAGAGCATCAATTACGAAGTTATCATTTTAATAGAGCGGTTACTTTGAATTAAAATTAAGCTTGCATAGTCCAAAATTTATTCTAAATTTATGATATGCTATTGTTTGTTTTTAAATAGTTTTTAAAATCAGTATTTGCATTATGAACGTATATATACCTCAAACATTGAAATAACTTTTGAATATGAGTTCCGACTTAGTTCTAACACAGCAGAGACAGTTTGCAATATTAATGCTGCATTTGAATAAATTATTAAAAATAATTTGACGTGTAATGAAAAGTACCTTATCGGTGGTGGAACAAAAAAAACGGCCGAAATTGAAGTTCATCTTTTTTAAGTGGCTGGTAAGATAGATCCATACTGCAGTTATATTATGATTGTAGAACAAATGTGAAGGCTCGACCGGAAAAAGACCACGCACTCACAGAATACCAGCATAAAATAGGGGCTTAATGCTGCTGTGTTTCGTATGGTTAAGTGCAGAGAACCGACGACGCTTTTCACTGCAAACGAAGCATTTCATATTAGTCCTTAAGGGCGATAGCGCATCTGCATTTTGATTCATATTCTAGGATAAATGTAGATGTCTATTGGCCACAACATGCGCTTACCATTAGATGAACTGTGTGCTCATTTGTCAACCTCATTCTATAAAAAATATCTTATATACATACAACACACACACACACACATATATATATACATATATATATAAAAGACATCTTTATATATATAAAAGACATCTTTATACAAGCAGCGCTATTATTCTATTCTCAAATCAGTATCAACATCTGCTCAAGCTATCAAGATCATCTTCATCACGATAGAAAACTTTAACACCGACATTGTGATACAGTCAAGTGATGTGATCAATGCACAATTATTTTAATTTTACTTTAGTTTAAACTATCTTATCAAATATAAACAAAACGAAATACTCACGAC